TAGTGGAGGTAGTGAGCATAGCAATAGCAAGGGTGATGATGAGCTCAGCCAGAGCATTGTTTGGGTGGATTTTGAAAAGATGAATATTAAAAGAATAGTAGATAGTTTAGGAGATGAATTAATTTAGAAAACTAATATGTAGTTGAGATTAAGTGTGAATTTTACCACGTAAAAATTGAATATAGATCATATATTGTTTTTTATATATAATTTTAGGTACTTTTGTATAACTATAAAAAATTATTGTGATCACATGGTACTTATCATTTGATTTAATGCCTATTATCAATGTAGTGGTGAGACGTCACATGATAAATAAAAATATGTTTTGTTATTATTATTATTGATAATATATTTCTTTATTTTTCATTTTACAATGTTCAAAAAATTAATTTATGTTTATTGTTGTTAGTTTTTGTAGATGAGAAGTCACAAATAAATTGTTAGACTTATTTATTTTGACGATTTATTTAATTATGTTTTAATTTATTTGGAAGAGAAAAATAGAATCAAAATTTATTTTGATGATTTATTTGAAAAAGAAAAATAGAATCAACATTTATTTTGTCCCATTATTTCTCACATAAACCTTTATCCTAAATGTTGTTAGAATGTATTTAATATTTGATTAAATCAGGAGTTCAAACAGCCCAAAACAAAGATTCAAACAGCTTAGCACAGCAGCAGGCCAAAAGGTTCAAAAGGTTCAAGTGGAAGATATTCAAATTAGTAATGATAGAAGTACAACGGCTATAAACGGTTATAAAGGTTCAAAATGTTCAAGTGGAAGATATTCAAATTTGTAATGATAGAAGTACAACGGTTATAAATTCAAATGACTACAACGGCTATAAATGGCTATAAATTCAAATGAATACAACGGCTATAAACGGCTATAATTTTCATTATATATACCAAAACTTCTAATGTAAACAAGTTACAAAAACCTGAAAATATTCTTTGATCTATAATCACTCACATCTATTCTCATAAATTATATACTGAGTCTTATAGCATTAAGCTCATCTTTCATGTATAAGATTTACAGAAAAATCAAAACTTCATTTTATATATCTATCTTTAAGAGATATTTATTGTAAGCTTTCTTTAAAAGCAAAAATACAATTTCATCTTGTAAAAGTGTTGCAAGATGGTGAAAAATCTCAAGAGAAACTTGAGGAGTGGATGCAGGCTTGGTTGAAGCCGAACCACTATGAATCTGTTTGTCTCCTCTTCCCTAATCTCTTTACTTTCCTACTACTGCTATAGCTATCTAATATTCATGTGTTAATCATTTGATTTATCTTGTATGTTAGTTATACTTTATTGTTATTTTACTTGATCATTTACTGTTAAGTTCATCATTGTACATGTTAATAATTTGTTGTACTAGTAGTTAATTTTATTGGGGTATTATTAATTTTAATTTGTAAAAACTTAATTCACACCCTCTTAGGTTGCTTTTTGGGTAACATAAATTTTAACCAAATTCAAGTTATAACTAATTTTAGATTGAAAAGGAAATTTCAAAATAAATTATAATTATATATATAATTTTAAAATATTTTTAAAAAAATACAAGGAAAAATTAGAACTATAAATTAAAATTATCAAACAACCTAATTTTATGAAGAAATTTAAATGAAAAATTGATCAAATTTGAATTTATAATTATTAAATATTTTTAATAAGCCATTGATTTTTTATTCAGGTTCTAGCATGATTGGATATTAAATAGTTTTCTAGATATAAATATATCTCAATATTGATACAATCAATATTAGACATATTTTAAGAAGGGTAAATAATATCGATAGTCCAACATTTTGTTTCTTGTGTCAATTTGGTCTCTGTAATTTTAATTAATTTGATTTTTACTCCTAATTTTAGATTTTGTATTAATTTGGTCCAATTGATAATGCTGATTAAGATTTTTGAAAGAAAATAGTTATTGAGTTAGTTGAGATTAACTTATTGAGTTGAACAAGTTTATGATTTTGTCTATAAAAGTATAACAGATGCTACTCATGTGTGTATTTTTAATAAATAATAAAAAATAAAAATAAAAACTAGCAATTATAACAATTGGACCAAATTAAGACAAAATTATAAATTTATGGTCAAAATTGAGCAAATTAAAATTGCAAGGACAAAAATAACACAACAGTTAAAATATAGGGATTACCAATGTAATTTATCCTTTAAGAATAAGTACATAATTTCTTAATTAATTTTAAAATTGTTAATAAATATACCAAACAAATATGTACATATTTCCTATTTTTGTTATAATTTTTTTTAAATATATTTACTAATTAAAAATTAAATAAATAGGTAGGTCTACTAATTCATAGATTGGACATGAACTAGACGATTCTCTAAAGACTAGGCTTAAATCAAGAATTATTGAGAGAAAAAATCGACTTGAACTAAATTTTCTTGGTTACTTTTTAGTGTTCAATCCAATATTAGAACCCCCAGATTAGCTCATATCAGTCACGAACTGATAAACTATGATATAATTTAAATATAAAATTTAAATTTATTAGCACCAGAATATGACCTACAATTTAGGATGGTTTTATCTTAAATAATTTTTTTATACATATATATATATATATATATAACTATTCACTTAATTGTTTTAAACATAAATATATAGTTTTTTTTTTTAAAACTATAGTTCAAACTTTTTAATAAGTATTCATAAAATAAGTCCATATTTCTTATTTATATTATAAAAAAAATATGGATTAATTACCTAAAAGTTTTATTTACATATTTGGTAATAGCTTAGGCCTTGTCAAAAAAATTTTGAACCAATAAGTCTCATTTATAGGTAAAAAGACATTTCGCCTTTTAACCCAAACAAGTGTATATATAAAATAGCATTGCCGTTAAACTGGGTCAACGCCAAAACTAAGAATGTTCTCAATTTCAAAACAAAGAATGATTTTGTATATAATTATTAAAACTAAGAAATTTCTCAATTTGTTTTTTCCTAATATGAACTAAGAATATTATCAGTTTTGAGAAATTTCTCAATTTTTTTATGATTAAATTGAGAATATTATAAACTGAAAATGTTCTCAATTTCAAAACAAAGAATGATTTCAATTTATAATCATTAAAACTAAAAAATTTCTCAAATTTTTTTCTAATATTAACTGAGAATATTATCAGTTTTGAGCAATTTCTCAATTTTTTTCATGATTAAAATTGAGAATATTATTAATCTACTCTCTCTCTTACATTTACCTTCTCCTCCTCCTTCTACACTTTTCAAATCTAGAAATCTCCTAATCTAGTTTTAGATCTGGTTCGAGATGAGCATGACTAGATCACAATGGTGAGAGGCAATGTTGGAGACGATAAGAGGCGGCAATGGAACACGAAGAGTGAAGAAATAGTGCAACTCGTCAAGCTTTACAGCAGCTTTGTCTTTCGCTAATGACCATTGAATTTCATCGTCAATGCGGGTGGAAATGACAACGATGTTTCCGCCTTGCAAGGTACGAACAATTGTGAGCTCACTGCAAGCAAGCTCGGCGATTTGTTTTTTGTCTATGAGATGGATGATTGTGCTCGGAACCCTGAGAAGACATGGTGATTGAGAACTTTCTCTGCTATGGAATTTTGAGAGAGAGAGAGTTTATTTGGTTGTTGTTGTTGTTGTTGTTGCTGGGAAGTGGGTGTAAAAGTAAGAGAGAGAATGAAGACAACAATTGTTTGGCAGCGATGGAGGAGGTCTTGGAAGGGTAAATTGGTCTATTAAAAATTAATGGGACTTGAAGGAGCAAATAATTTTATCTAGGACTTAATGGATTATAAGTTCACAAAATATAACTTGTATGTAAATGCCTCAAAAAATATTTACAAATATTTATTTACTAATTTAATAAATAAATAAGTCAAATGATTCATATAAGTTGGAAACAGAACAAAATAATTTTTAATAATTAGGTGAATGAGAAATTTGCTTAAATCTAATGTTAAGCCCAAAATAATTTTATCTAGGACTTAATAGATTATAAGTTCACAAAATAGAACTTGTATGTAAATGCCTCAAAAAATATTTACAAATATTTATTTACTAATTTAATAAATAAATAAGTCAAATGATTCATATAAGTTGGAAACAGAACAAAATAATTTTTAATAATTAGGTGAATGAGAAATTTGCTTAAATCTAATGTTAAGCCCAAATTTAGGGGTTGTTTGGGATGATCTAAATAAGTACACTTTTTGACTTTTTATGAAATATGAGTTGGGTTTGGGTTGGGTTTGAAGTGATGTGTTAGAGAGGTGATGTGACTTAAATAAGACGATGTGACTTAAATAGAATAGTAACTTTTTGACTTTTTATCTTTTACAAGACATGCCAAACTTGACCTTAATATCACAAGTGAATCCTAATTCATTTTTAAGTAAATCATATAATATAAGACAAATATATGTAATTTACCACTATCATATGATAAATTAAATTTACAAAACTCATAAGATGAAATGTATTTATATTTTATCATAAATATAATTTTTGTGATTTATTTTTTAATTTTTACCACTAAAATTGTGACATATATTTGTTATTAAGAATTTCGAACACACAATTAATAATATAAGAATAAAAAAAAATTCTCTTATATGTAACTGTAATAAAAATTAATAAAATTTAATTAATTCTAAATCATTTTTACTAAATATTGTAGATAAATTTTTTATATTATTATTTAATTTTAAAAATTAATTTTTAATTATTTATTTATATCTATGCATAGCACAAATAATTATACGAATATAATATACAGGTTGATAGATAGATAAATGAGCAAAATTCAGTAGCGACACTGTTTTTTCTGGGGTCATAGGCTTTTTTGGAGCAAAATAAAAATAAATAATATGCTCCACTCATCCACCGTGGCTTGTCACTGCAAAACCCCAACCCCACCCCAATCCAATTTCTCTCTCTAAACTATAAAACAGAGAGAGAGAGAGAGAGAGAGAGAGAGAGGGAGAGTGGGTCCCATTTTTTTTTTTTTTTTTTCGCTGCAGCTACTGCACCTCCTCCTGTTGTTGGTATTGCTTCCCCCATTCAGCACCCACGACGTGCAACCATGGCAGCAGCTTCAGCAGCACCGCTAGCGCTGAACGGAGTGAAAATGGCGACAACTTCACAGGCGTACCTAGACAGCAATCCACTGAGAGAAACAAAGCTCTTCATATCCGACCTCTTCCGTCAATTCTACTCCCTCGGATGGGTCTCCGGGACAGGTGGCAGCATCTCCATCAAGGTCCACGACCACCCCATCCCCAAACTCCACCGCCTCCTCATCATCTCCCCTTCCGGTACCCTCCCTATATACCCCTACTCTCTTCTTATATCAATTTGCTCTATGTATTTTGAAATTGTATTAATTTTGCCATTTAATTGTTCGCATTTTGTGAATTTAGTTGAATTGATAACATAACAAGGTAAAATTATTGGTAATGTACCATTTCCCATTGATTTAAGTCTAATTTATAGAGGAACATTGTGGATAAATTTAGACAATGTTAAAAATGTAAGTATAAAATTGATGCAATTAGAATTATAAGAATCAAATTGGCGTAAGAGCTCAATTACATAGACTATCTGCATAATTTGCTCATATTATTGTTTTTTTTCTTGATTGGTTTCATCTGGGTGTTGTTTGGTATTGTCGTGGTGGCTTCATTGGTTTGATTGGGGGGAGTGTGGACAGGTGTGCAAAAGGAAAGAATGGTTCCAGAGGACATGTATGTGGTCTCTCCAATTATGTCTATACTGTCTTCGCCATTATCGAAGCCATACCCTCACAAGCCTCCCAGATGTTCCTATTGTGCTCCTCTCTTCTTGAAGGTTATATTAGTATTTTCTCTAGTACTAAGAGCTTTGTAAATTTTATTGAGTCGCTATATTTGTATTATTTAGAAAATATACAACTACTGATGTGTCCTTACATGTGGAGGTTTTTTGTATCTCCATGAATTGAATGCTCTTCTATGATGAAGTTGAAAGCACTTATAATTGGCTTTGGAGTTTGTTTGATACGCTTCATCTCCAATTGACAACTTAGTCTTCCAGGCTGAATGTTACCATTACCTCTTCGATGCTGCTATTAAACTTTATCAATTGGGCTTGGACTGGTCTACCCCGAATCATGGTCTGATTTCTAATTCCAGAAGAGCTTTCTGTGGTCACCAGAATGTAAACACATCTGTGAAGGCAGGGTCTCTAAAATCAAATAATGAAATTGAGCCATTACGGGTTAGTTTTTGAAGTATTCTCAGTGCTCTCCCTTTTGCTAGAAAGGTCACTATGTGGTGTAATACTTGTTCCAATTCTAACATATTGCTTAGTTACTAAATTTTTTCGGCAGCGTTGCGTTCTTCTAGACATTGAAGGGACCACTACTCCTATATCATTTGTTAGTGATGTTCTCTTTCCATATGCCCGCGACAATGTGGGGAGGCATTTAGATGCAACATATGACACTGCTGAGACTCAAGATGACATTAAGTTGTTGCGCTTTCAAGTGAGGCTTTTTTCTTTTCTTTTGTTAAAGTTGGGTGTTTAGGGTTCTGCAAATAAAGAGTCTATTTTTATTTGATTCCAAAATGTGCAAAATTACATTTTGAGAAATATGTGACAGAATCTTCATTATTTCACTTTCAAATGACCATTTCACATTAAAAACTCAGGCATGAAAACTTGAATAAGTTTAGTATATTCACAAACATGCATATACCTTTGTCACTCTGCAGATTTTGGGGAGCTGTCTTTAGCAGTATTCATTCTGGTTGGAGTCTCAGAATCATCTCCCATATGTTTCAGTTTCGCTGTTATTTTGCAGGTACAGGATGACTTAGAACAAGGAATTGCTGGTGCTGTGCCCATCCCTTCTGATGATGCTGGGAAAGAGGAGATCATTCCAGCTTTGGTTGCTAATGTGGAAGCAATGATAAAAGCTGACAGGAAGATTACTGCCTTGAAACAATTGCAGGTAATCAAACAGAACTCACAGTAAAACTTCTTTCTCTGGGAGCTACCTTCACAATCTGGCTAACATTTTAAGGATTCAGGGTCATATATGGAGAACTGGATTCCAAAATAATGAACTTGAGGCCGTAGTTTTTGATGATGTACCTGAAGCTCTTGAGAAGTGGCATGCTTTAGGCATCAAGGTTGGTTTGAGATTCTTCCTTTTCTTTCATTAATTGTTTCCCCAGCTTTATTTTCTGGTGTGTTTCTGTGCCCTAGAATGGGTTGCAATTACCTTGCAAGACTTGTGGTCATTCGTTGTTGCTTTACTGATTTGGTGGTTTGATTATGTGACTTTGATTTCCCTCGACATGCACTTAATTAATTTCCCATGGCTGTTTGTGGAAGTTACTATACGTCAACTCTTGCTTATCTTTCCCCAGGTGTACATATATTCCAGTGGTAGTAGATTGGCACAAAGGCTCATATTTGGCAATACAAATTATGGGGACTTGAGAAAATACTTGTGTGGATTTTTCGATACCATAGTGGGGTATGTTACACACTCCTTGAATTCATTTCTTTGTTTTAAAAGCTATTCTATTACTGTTTCATTCTAGGTAAATCGTCATTCACTACTATTATGTGCAGGAACAAGAAAGAAACAACCAGTTATGCTGAAATATCGGAATCTGTGGGAGTAGATAGGCCATCAGAGATCTTATTTGTGACTGATGTCTATCAAGAAGCTATAGCTGCCAAGGCAGCAGGTAAGATGCTTAACTTTTGATCTTTTGGAAAGGTTTGAATGATCCAAATCATTGATTAGGCAAAATAGCTTAAATTTGAACGTTGAGACTCGTGTTAAAAAATTCTCTGAGGCATTGGTTGAGATTGCCTTAACCATTGGTACTTGAATTCCAATATATGTTTTAGGTTTGGAGGTGATAATTTCGGTGCGGCCAGGAAATGGACCTCTACCTGAGAATCATGGGTTCAAGACAGTCAACTCTTTCGCAGAGATCTAAGATTTAGGAGTGTTCCCTGTAAGCTTCCTTTAACATGACATAGTTATAATTAACGATGATATACTACATTAATAAGCAAATTTCCTTCCTGATAAACTTGCCATTGAGTTTATGTTTTGTTGCTACACTACTCTTTTCAACAACAACAAAAAAACAAAAAAGAAAAAAAAAAAATCAGGGATTTCCTTTTCGGTTAAAGACTTGTCTGGATTTTTTTTTTTTTGGTTGGCTATGCTTAGTTAATTTTCTGTTTAACTCTGGCTATTAACAAGTGAAAACAGGGGAACAAATTTTTATACAAAAAAATGTAAAATGATCAGTCTATGTTGAATGATCTGATGTTCAGAATTGAATAAAATATCTCTAAATGGTCCCAAAGTTACTACATCAATAAGCAAATTTCCTTCCTGATAAACTTGCCACTGAGTTCTTGTTTTATTGCTGCACTACCCTTTTCAACAAAAAAAAAAAAGAAAAAGAAAAAAAAATAAAAAATCAGGGATTTCCTTTTCGATTAATTTTCTGTTTAACTCTGGCTATTAACAAGTGAAAACGGGGGAACAAACTTTTATACAAAAAAATGTAAAATGATCCGTCTATGTTGAATGGTCTCATGTTCAGAATTGAATAAAATATCTCTAAATGGTCCCAAAGTTAGTGGAATTAGGGGTACCTGTAGTTCTGAAAATAATGCAGCTAATTTATTTATTTTATATTTTTTTCTCATAAATTTTTTTATAAATTCAAAATTCAAATACAGTCTAGTTTTATTTATTTTTGTAAGTTTATCCTTATTTGGATTAAACTATATAAGTATACCTTTTTCTGCAAGTGCATTTATTTGGGTCACATCAATCAATATCTCATCTCTACACATTTTTTTATAAAAATTCAAAAAATATACTTATTTAAAAAATCTCAAACTAATTCATATATATATCATTAGGGTTTATTTTTTTACTATTTTATATCATCAAGGAATGCGTCAAGATATTATTTGTCTGTATTTAATAATTATTTTCAAATAAAGAATCATACACAAGAATCCATACAAGTGGTGAAGTGAAACAATAAAAAAATTGTAATAAAAAACATTTTTCCCGTTGTTTTGTTCATGCACTTGCTGTGCAAACCCCTGTGTGTAGTGACGAAATTTTAATAATGTTAACAAAGCAAAAAGGAAAAGTCATCCCAATTTCCATGCTTTATAGCAAAGTTTGATCATGCTTTCTTTTACTTCTTTGTCAATCATCCATCACAACATGTTCCCCTTCCTTCCTCTCTCTCTCTCTCTCTCTCTCTCTCTCTCTCTCTCTCTCCCCATGGGACCTCCCTTCTCTCTCTTTTCACTAGAGATGGTCGCCTTAGAGTCAAAAAGACATGGGGTTATTTGTTGCACTTTATATGAATTGTTTATATAAAAAAATTTGAAATTTTCTGTTAAATTATTTGATAAATTTTTTTATTATAATTTATTAAATAAAAATAACTTAAATATCAAGAAATTGGGGAATAAATGCTTTTATTTTCTATTTTATGATTATGTACTTTTAGCTTTCAAAAAGTTGGATCAAATAGATCCTCAACATTGCAAGCTTTAAGATACAGAGGTAGGTTTGTGTGAATTTTATTGTAATTTCAACATTAATCTCATGAAAATAGTAAAGTTTATTGTAGTAATAGTGACTATGGTTAAAGCTCCCTACCATTTGTTCATTAATGTCTTCTCTCTCCATGTATAGTTCCTAATCAACCATGCTCTCTAGTTAATATACCTAAGGATCTACATATAGCAAACCCTATCTCATTCCAAACTAGTCAATTCATCTAAACACTGTCAGATCCGACCCTGTCAAGTGTTGTTGCTCCCCAAAATATCTTCTCTTGTTTTTTTTTTTTTTTTTCATATTAAAGGCTCTGTTTGAAATGATTGGTTGAAATGAGTTTGGGATTATTTTAGGAGAGATGCTTCATACACTCAGTGGGGCGCCCCAGTGACGGCAGCTCCAATTCAATTCTTGGTCCAAAAAAAAAAAAAAAAAAAAAAAGACCTATTTTTTTCGGACCAACCCCCAACTGACACCTCACTGGGTGTCACCCCCAGCTGGGGTAAAATACATTTTCCTTATTTTAGTTATTAAAAAAAATTTAAATTAATAAAATAAAATATCACATTTATTTTATAATTATTATATTTTTTTATAAAAAATTAAAAAATCAAAAAATTCTTCTCATACGAAACTTTTTAATCCAAGAATAAAATAATCAAAAAGTTAAAAAAATTAAAAAGTCAATTCACTTTCCAAACGAATCCTAAATCTCTATAATAAGTAGGCAATTTTGAGAGGAAAAATATTTTGTTATATTTATCTTTGAAAAAATTGACAATTTATCTTTAAAAATCATTGTTGTCCTTTTTTTTTTGAGAAAAAAATATAAATACAATTATTTGATTAATTTAATTTTTATTTTTATTTTTATTTTTATAAATGATCTATATATAAAATCATACCATATGAGTAGATTAGATTTTCTTGTTGAAGCAATTGGACAGCTGAGTTAAGTCGACCTTAGAGAATCTCTCTGCCGAAAGAGACTTTTGTTCGAAAAGAGAAACATAACGCTTGCCGATCCGTACACCCAAATCAGCACAACATATATAAAAGGAAACTTGCAAATTTATGACTATTATTTTTTATTTCAAAATTAAATAAATAATATACTGACAAATTTTATTTCAAACTAATGTTATTTCAAATAATGTTATACTTAAAAATTGTCATGATTTATTTAAATAAAAAAATTATTCAAATAATGAACCAGTTTCTTGTAGTCTTTTCATTTCAAATTAAAACATCTACTGTTTTAACTTATAAATTTAAAAATATTATTATTACATCATTGTAGATTAATTTTTTCATTTAAAATCAAGTTTTTTAATCATTTTTAGCAAGAGTGGATTGAGTTGTAAAATTATCTAAACTATGTTCGCTTGTTAATAGATTGTTTAGCAAACAAATGAAATCTAAACAAGTTTGATTATTTTTTGAGCTTATCTGAATTAGCTTATGTTTATTATTATAGAACAAAGCTAACTCAAGCCAATCTCATTCGAACTCAACTCTTGATTAATTGGTTCAATAATAACCAATTTTATATCGATTTGATAGGTAAATAAATCAATTTTAATTTTACTTTTTAAGGTTGCACAAACTTTTCTCAACTCTCTCCAAAAAAGAGTCCATAGGAGTCTCCCAAAATTATAAATATTATACATAGAGACACACACGTTTTCTACTTAAGTTGGTGGAATCTGGTTATGAGCATATATATGTAAGTATATATGAATTTGATACCTATCCATCCACTATCATTATCTATTCCATTAGTATATTCTATTATATGAAGTTAATTCTTGAGTTAGAACTGTTTGGATTAATTTCTTATTTTATTTAACTATTTTAATTATCAATCTAATTGATTCACATATGTGATGTGTGTGAACACTTGTAATATTTATATATGATTTTGGAGACGAATTTGATCCCATTGATCATTAACATTTTTCATCAGTGTGCATGAGAATAAATGCAGAGAATATGAATCTGATGATTCCCATTTCCACCCATTTAGCTTTTGTGGCTTTTTTGTTGAAAAACAAAACGGAAGAAAGTAAGGAATGCAAAAGTGTGGTATATAAACATAAAAATTAGGAGAAATAACTTAACAGTGATAGGAAGAAAATATAATTACAAAAAAAAGTTTTTATTGATAAGTCCAATTTAAAAATGTTTTAACCCAAGAAGTTTATGAAGGAATTTTTTAACCTATTTAGTCCCATGTATGTATAGTTTTATTCCATAAAGTCCATTTTCTTGATTTACACTATTTTCTTGGACACTTATGCCCTTATATTCAGCTTTGATACCCTTATAAATATTTTTTGAACGATTAGCAATTTAATGATGTGAACATTCATATTTTAAAATTCTCATTGGTAGGAATGTAAAATTGGCCCGTGGGCGGCCCGAAACCCGCCCGCGAGCCGGGACGGGCCCGGCCCGTTGACAATGTGAATATTCACATTGACATGTTAACATTCATATTAATAGGAGTGTAAAATTGGCCCACGACCCGTGGCGGCGCGAAACCCACTCGAGGCCCATGGGCGGCCCGGCGCGGGCCCGGTCCGGCCCATTGACAATGTGAATATTCACATTGACATGTTAACATTCACATTGATAAGAGTATAAAATTGGCCCACAGCCCGCGGAGGGCCCGGCCCGGCCCGCTGACAATGTGAATATTCACATTGACATGTTAACATTCACATTGATAGAAGTGTAAAATTAGCCCGCACCTCGTGGCTGCCCGAAACCCGCCTACGGCCTGTGGGCGGCCCGGGACGGGCCCGACCTGGCCTGTTGACAATGTGAATATTCACATTGACATATTAACATTCACATTGATAAGAGTATAAAATTGGCCAGCAGCCCAGGACGGGCCGGACCTGGCCCGGCCCGGCCCGTTGACAATGTGAATATTCACATTGACATGTTAATATTCACATTAATAGGAGTGTAAAATTGGCCCCCGTCTTATGGCGGCGCGAAACCCGCCTGCGGTCCATGGGCGGCCCGAGGCAGGCTCGGTTCGGCCCATTGACAATGTGAATATTCACATTGACATGTTAACATTCACATTGATAAGAATATAAAATTGGCCTGCGGCCCATGGGTGGCCAAAAGCCCGCCCGCGGCCCGAGGCGGGCCCGGCCCGACTCGGCCCGTTGACTATGTGAATATTCACATTGACATATTAACATTCACATTGATAAGAGTGTAAAATTGGCCCGCAACCCGTGGGCGGCCCGAAGCCCGACCGAAGCCCAAGGCGGGCTTGGCCCGACCCGTGACAATGTGAATATTCACATTGACATGTTAACATTCACATTGATAGGAGTGTAAAATTAGCCCGCGCCTCGTGGCTGCCCGAAACCCACCCATGGCCCTTAGGCGCCCCAGGGCGGGCCCGGCCCGGCCTGTTGACAATGTGAATATTCACATTGACATGTTAACATTCACATTGACAAGAGTGTAAAATTGGCCCATGACCCGTGGGCAGCCCGAAGCCAGACCGCAGTCCGAGGCGAGCTTGGCCCGACCTGTGACAATGTGAATATTCACATTGACATGTTAACATTAACATTGATAGGAGTGTACAATTTGTCTGCTGCCCGAAGCTCGCCCGCGGCCCGGGGTAGGCCCGAACCCAAACTCGGGCCGCCCCGAGCCATCCATGGGACGCGAGTCAATTTTACACTCTTATCAATGTGAATGTTAACATGTCAATGTGAATATTCACATTGTCAACAGGCCGGGCCGGGCTCGCCTCGGGCCGCTCACGGGCCGTGGACGGGTTTCGGGTAGCCACGGGGCACGGGTTAATGTTACACTCTTATCAATGTGAATGTTAACATGTCAATGTGAATATTCACGTTGTCAACGGGCCGAGCTTTGGGCTGTGCACGGGTCACGGACCAATTTTAAACTGTTATCAATGTTAATGTTAATATGTCAATGTAAATATTCATATTGTCAACGGGCCGGGCTTCGGGTCAATTTTACACTCCTATCAATGTGAATGTTAATATGTCAATGTGAATATTCACATTGTCAACGGGCCAGGCCGGGCTCACCGTCGGGCCGCTCACAGGGTTCGAGCCGCCCATGAGACGCGAGTCAATTTTACACTTTTATCAATGTGAATGTTAACATGTCAATGTGAATATTCACATTGTCAACAGGCCGGGCTAGGCCCGCCCCGGGCCTCCCACGGGCCGTGGGCTAGTTTCTGGCAGCCACGGGGTGCGGGCTAATTTTATACTCTTATCAATGTGAATATTAACATGTCAATGTGAATATTCACATTATCAACGAGTCGGGCCGGGCCCGCCTAGGGCAGCCCACGAGCCGCGGGCGGGTTTCGGACCGGCTATAGGCCGCGGGCTAATTTTACACTCCTATCAATGTGAATGTTAACATGTCAATGCGAATATTCACATTGTCAACGGGCCCGGCCTGGGCTCGGGTTCGAGCTGCCCACGGGTCACGGACTAATTTTACACTCTTATCAATGTTAATGTTAATATGTCAATGTGAATATTCACATTATGAACGGGCAGGCCCAGGCCCACCCCGGGCGGCGGGCTGGCTTCGGGCCACCCACGGGCTTCGGGACGCCCACGGGTTGCGGGCCAATTTTACACTCCTATCAATGTGAATGTTAACTTGTCAATATGAATATTCACATTATCAACACGCCGGACCCCTACACATTAACGATATGAACATTCATATTAACGGTGTGAACATTTACATTAAGGGTATTTTGATAAATATGTCACCCATAAGACTTATTGAAATATAAGAAAATAATGTGAACGAAATGAAACATAAGTAGATGAAATGGATATTTTGGTCTTCTTATCTCAAATTGGACCTAATGGAATAGTCAAAAAGAATATGAGTTAGATGGAATAAAACTCTTAGAAAATAGATTTATCAAAAAAACTCCCTTACAAAAAAAAGTGATAAATATTATAAATAATTATAAATTTTTTTATTAATACGTAATAATTTTTAATGATTATCACTTAATTGGTAATTTTTCCTAAAAATCATAAATAAATAAATAAATAAAAATCAACGTCTCGTCTCGTTATTTTTATTAATTTGTAGATGAAATGGGTATTTTGGTCTTCTTATCTCAAATTGGACCTAATGGAATAGTCAAAAAGAATATGGGTTAGATGGAATAAAACTCTTAGAAAATAGATTTATCAAAAAAACTCCCTTACAAAAAAAAGTGATAAATATTATAAATAATTATAAATTTTTTTATTAATACGTAATAATTTTTAATGATTATCACTTAATTGGTAATTTTTCCTAAAAATCATAAATAAATAAATAAATAAAAATCAACGTCTCGTCTCGTTATTTTTATTAATTTTTTAATTTTTTGACTAAATTATAAGATAAATAATTAATATGTTTAGAATAATTTTTTAATTTTTTATAAAAAAAAACGTAAAAAATAGAGAGAATTTTTTTTTTTTTTTTTGCCTTTATAGTATAAATTGTTGACTTTTTAATTTTTTTAATCACTTTTTAACTTTTAAATTAAAAGATTAAAATTTCCAAACGAGATGACAAGTCTTTTCTGTATCAAAATCGTAATTTTTAAGTAAACATATCATTAAAACCGTTTGCATTTTCATAAATATCATTGTCATAAAATTAAGAAGTAAAATTATAAGATGCTTTTATCGTGTACTATTGTCCATATATAGTGCTATTTATAGTTGGTGTAATAACATGAAAAAAATTTGGGATATTATTGATTTAGAGCACCTCAGCAGCACATTCATCTCATGATGATAATGGTGGTAATGGTAGTTCTTAATTATAATTTATAAGCAAAAAGGTAACCTAAAAAAAACAAAACAAAAATTTTAACAAAAATAAAAATTATATATATTTTTCATAACCAAAGAGACCAAAGGCTTTTCAAATTTATTTTTCTTTTTTTTTGGTTGAACAATTGAAGAGAGAGAGAAATCAAATAGTACAATTGAAGCAATCACTTACCTGTCTCTCTCTATCTCTCTCGAAAAACTCTCCTCCAATCCAAACCCATTCAACAACCGCACAAAACAAATCCTCACAGTTACATTACAACGATTCCCACTTGTTCTTCTTCATCATCATCTTCAAGAAGACGACGACTCTGAAACTCTGGGCGATGTCACCGGAAATAGAGGCAAAAGCTGCGGTGGCTCCGATCCTCTCGGCGTCGTAGTTCTGGGCGATGGGTGCAAGTAAAACCCCTTCTCTGCAATCGCTTTCTCTTCCTCCGAAGAAGAACTCCCAATCGATGGCGAACAAGACTTGTTAAATGGGTCTTCAATCAATGGCGTCACAGGACTCAGAACCAGCGATGGAAAATCTAGTATGCTCGGCGATAAGACCTCAGGGTTTCCGACCAAAAACCCAGAACTCTGAATCAAAGGGCTGATCATCTTCAGGCTGTTTCTTCTCTCGTAGAGCTTGAATCCTTGCTTTTTTTGTCCTGTTTTGATTGGGGGTATGTAGTTTTTGGAGGACTGTGGTGGTGGATCGGAGGACGGTTTCGAGGCTTGTTTTGCTGTTTCTGATGATCCCGTCAGCATTTGAACTACCTTTTTGAATGTGGTGGTGTCTGCTTGGACGAAGGTTGTTGGGTAGGGATTGGATTCGGATCTGGAGATGTGTTTTGGGGTGAGTGGAGGGGTTTGGGTATGGACTCCATTGTTGGTGGTGGTGGTGGTTCCATTGCAGCTGTTTGGGGAGTTTGTGGGAGATGGGTTTTCTCTCTCTTGAGGCCTAAGGGTTATCTCCATTGATAAGCTTGTAACTCCCTCACACCACTTTGTAGAGAGAGAGAGAGAGAGAGAGAGAGGTTAAAGGGTTGGAGTTGGTTTGGGTGGAGAAGAAGAGATGGATGAGAGTGAAAAACAAGACTTGATGAGAAAGGGGCTTTTGCAAGTAATTTTTCTATTCGGATAGGCTTGGTTTGCAAAGTTGGTTGGCTTCTTAATTTTTTTTTATCAAGTTTGGAAAGATTAAATAAGTGTATTTTTTAATTTTTTATCAAATATGGATTGAATTTGGGTTGGATTTGAAGTGATGTGTTAGAGAGGTGATATAACTTAAACAAGATGATGTGACTTAAATAAGATAGTGACTTTTTAAATTTTTTGGAGGATACCAAACTTCGCCTTAATTTTGAGTTAAAAAGGTTTGGTTTGGAAAGAATTTTTAATTTTTTTTAGAAGAAAAATGTAATGATTATAAATTTGATATAATATTTTATTTTATTAAGTTAAAAAATTTATTTTATTTTTTGTAACTATTTCAGTAAAAAAAAACCTCTAAACCCACTTTTCAAACCAACACTATATGTTATGCCTCCGTTTGGGAAGTGAGTTGATTTTTTGGCTTTTTGACTTTTTTTTTTTACTATTTTAGCCTGGGCTAAAAAACTTGGTTTGGGAATGAGTTTTTGACTTTTTTTACTTTTTTGTGAGAGAAGAATGTAATGATTATGGGTTGAATGTGATGTTTTATTTTTTGTGACTAAAATAGCCTATTTTATCTTTTGTGGTTAAAATAGTCAAAAAAACCCACTTTAATTCTTCCCAAACAGACACTATGTAATATTTTTTATTATTATAATTAATTTTGATAATAGAATTTATCACATTTATATTAAGTATTTAAAAAATAATAAATATATATATATACTTATAATTAATCAAAGATAATATATGTTCTATTAACATACAAATATTTCTTGATTTTCAGTCACTTGTTTTCGTGGTATTTTAGAAAGTTAGTAAGAAGCGCTTTTTAATTTTTTGATTTTTTAAATGATTTTTTTTGATAAAAAATTGGATTATTTTGGATAAAAAAATAAATTTTTTTGACTAAAAAAAAATTAAAAAACTAACTTTTTACCATTGTTTCCAAAAATACTTTTTTTTCGTTGTGCGCCCTTTGTGCTACTTTTTGTTTTTCCCTCTCTCTCGACTTTAATAATTAATTATTAATATATATTTTTTAAAATAATATTTTATATTATAATATATGTATTATAAAAGAATAATTTTAATTTTAATTTAAAATAAAATTATAATTTTAATTATTAATTTTAATAATCTTAACTTTATCGTTTTATAAAAGTGTTACTTGAATACTTATATATAATAAATTTAGTTAAATTATTAACTCTATCGTTTTATAAAAATATTATTTAAATACTTATATATAATAATTTTAATAAAATTATTGATTTATTTTTAGAATTTTAGTCCTATTATGCTATAAAATAGTAGTTATTATATAATCAGTTTATATGATATATATTAAATTATAAGATAGTAAAATAAGCATTCATTTTGATATTAAAAATAATAATTAAAATAAAAAGAGAATTAGTAAGATAAAATTAAAAGTGATTACTTAATTTATTTAAAAAATTAAATACAAATATTTGTAGTTGGATTAAGAAGAAAATAAATAGATTAATTATGGAAAATGATTTTCCCTCAGAATTTTTTTTCCCCGAATCTCCCGACTATCCAAAACGACGTTATTTTGGCAGTTTTCTTTTTTTTCTTTTTCCCCTCCTTTATGTCTAAAACGCAGAGAAGAAAAGGGAGAGGGAGAAAGAGAGAAAGAGAGAAATAGAGAAGGAAGAAGATAGGAAGATGTTGATGGTGATGAGAGAGAGGGGCTTGGCCGCCGATCACCGCCGCCAATCGTCGCCGCCATCATCCCCGTCGATTGACGCCTCCGTCGTTGCTGCCCCTCCGATCGACGCTCCCTCTCTTTCTTCTCTCCCTTCTCTGTTTCAGAGAGAAAAGGAAAAGAAAAAAAAATCGATCTGTATACACACAGATTTGTGTATACACACAGAACCGTCCCCTTGGTTTTGATTTTTTTTTTTGTGTGTGATCGTTGGTTGTTGTTGATGATTAAAGGGAAAAAAAAATGTTAATGACCTGTGTATACACACAGAGCCATCCCCTTGATTTTGATTTTTTTTTTTTTTTTTTGTGTGTGATCGTTGGTTGTTGTTGATGATTAAAGGAAAAAAAAATGTTAATGACCTGTGTATACACACAGAACTGTCCCCTTGATTTTGATTTTTTTTTTTTTTTTGTGTGTGATCGTTGGTTGTTGTTGATGATTAAAGGGGGAAAAAAAAAATTGTTAATGATTGTTGGGGTGGGTTTGATTTTTGGTTAATGATGGCGATGATCTCTCTTTCTCTCTCTGCTCTGCTCCTCTCCTTTTCTTCTTCTTCTTTATTCTTCTTCAGCCAGAAAAGAAAAAAGAAAAAAAAAATTCAAAACCGATTAATTATGTAGAGTATTAATTTTTTTTAATATATTCTTTTTGAATTATTCATACTTATTATATATAAGTATATAAAATTTAAATTAAATATAAATATTTTATAATACAGAATTTTATGTTAAATAGAAAACTCAATATAAATTAATATTAAGATATTAATAAGGTAGACGGAAAAAATATATAACTTTGATATTTAATAGAAAAAAATTAAACATGAAATTGAAATCAAAGCCGAAGAAATAGGGAGATAGAGCATGCATTCAAAATGAGTAGGAGGAGTTTTATCGTGTCATCGAACCATCGAAATAATGCTGTTATCATCACTATGCTCGCTCCAATCTTCAATTCATCTCGTTCAAAAAAAAAAAAAAAATCAATTCAATTCATCTATATAATTAAATACTCCAAAAATACATAATTACAAAAAAAACGAAAAAATAAAGTAAAAAGGCAAAATCATCAGAAATATTGGAACAGCACATCAAGACGACACTCGAACAACTTACCATCCAACAATTAAAGAAGTAATCCAAGTAGCATATTCAAATTTCAAAGGTTAGTATTGTTGCTGTGTGAGTCATGATTGCATAAAATAATATAAGGAATATTTTGTACAATTAAAGTATGATCTATATAGGATTTATAGATCTGTAAAAAAAAATTAGAATTGAGGATTTCCGATTAGATTTCGTGCAAAACTCAAACAGCAAAACGAGTCTGTGGAAGGCAGAAAGATTCTTTACATGGAATGCAAGATGAGATGATCCTTCATTTACTTTGCAAAGAGAAATCAACTAGTCAATGATCACTCCCGACAAGATATGATCGGGAGGACCCTTCGATGATCAAGTCAGAACTATAATCGGCCATATAATATTTATTTAGGAAGTAAGATTTTCTATTTTCTTTTTGTTATCCTATTTGCTTTTTCTTATTCTTCCTTTTATTATGTTATTGTCTTGGCCTTGACCGTTGGATTAACATTTTCATCTAATAGCTCTGATTACTACTAGACTTTGGTCGGGTAAGTAGCTAGCTTGCTTTGATCATTTGACATTGGATTAAGTTACTGTATGCGGCTTAGATTATGTCAGGCGTTTATTGGCCAACTTGCTAATTGCTTCATTCGTCCAATTAGGTTCATCGGATGGTTGTTTCGTTTACGTAGATCAAGCCTATGCACCTATCCATGATGATTGTGATCCTCACCGTCAATTATGAATGAATCTAAGAACATCCCTGCGTTTTGCCGATCTCTTTCTAAAATGTGATTTTACTTAGGTTTTGGTCATGTAACACTGTTTCTTCTTCTATCGAACCCATCAATAATTTGGGCCTTTCTTTTGATTCGGGTTGCTTGGCTACTTGAATTTTGGGCCTTGGGCTAACACTTCTGGGTTTTGAGTCAATGTTTTTATCCCTCCACAGAGCCTATATAAAATTGGTAAAGTTAGCATACTTAAAATTGGATTAGTGAATTTATCCAGATGTTGATGTGTCTTTTTTAGGGGGAAAAAAGGGGAAAAAAAAAGAAAAAAAAAAAGAGAAGTAAGGTCTTAGAACGTGTCACCTAAATAAGGAAAAAACATTACTTTTAATAACATATATATATGATATGATTTTCACTCTCCTTTGTTTTAATTTGGTTTTTTTTACAAATATTTGTAAATTAATTGTATATGAATTTTTATAAACATTAATAAATTAATGAAAAAAATTATAAATTTAATTATTAATGTTTATCATTGATTTGATTTATTTTATTTTTAAATACACTCAGTTGTAATTCACCCTTTTGATGTAGGGATCAAATGGTAAGATTCTCAATTAGACATAAATTAATAACAAAATAATTTATTTAAAATACAATTAATCATTTGAAGAGCAAATTGACTATCTTATTTTTAATTTTAGTCTAATTTTTAAAAAAGCCATTCCTAGTCCAAAAAAATTGATATCAAAATTAATAATAAAATTGATAGAATTTATTTTTAAAATAATACTTTTGCATAATATAAATAACTAAAGGAATAGGACATCAAAGTGGGGTGTTGGGTGGGCGAGGGAATTTTTCAAGTGGCATCGGCTTCAGAGAGCTCTGAATCAAAGAGACTCTCTCTATCGTACTGCCACTGCGTTCTGCTCTACTGTGATTTGGATTGGGATTGTGTTGACGGTATAAATTATAAAAGTCAATTACGATTCAGTACGCAGTATGAGAAAGGTAATTTGGAAAGATAATCTAAATCTCTAATCATAGTTAAACACGTGTCAACTCATAGGTAATAAGGTGACGTGGGTCTGCTTAACACTCGAATGGGCCTGTATAACACTCGAATGATCAAGGGGTATAAGGTGATGTGGCTCAACGGTTACTCACAAGGTTCAAATTCAAAATTATGAATGAAACCTAACTGGAGACATGACGTAGTTGAGCTAATTGTGAGGAAGCATGATCAGCGATCATGGAGGGATGCTTCAACGTTTAGAAGCTCATTTCGACAGTTATCATTAAGAAGTATAAATAGTAGAGAAGGCTCCAGAAAGACCCCCGAGACTCAGATCAAAAAGCCAGTTCGTTTACTTTATTTTTTCTTCCAGTT